CCAAGCAACCCTAACCCCCCAGACACCATTCAACCTGGTATGCACTTGTTGACACACACACACTGTCCTTTCAAAGCAAACAAGCCCCACCCTGCCACAGAGGAGACATGGGCTGCTCCGCTGCCATTTTACACCCCCCTTCAGTGTTTTGGCCAAACCACCTCTCCTTTCCCCACTGCCCTCGTTTAATCTTTAACCAGACTGCAGCCCCTCCTGTTCCTCCTTGCTGCCTCAGGGCCGGACAGAGGGTACTCTTTTCTCTCAATGGCCTGTGATTCTTGTGTTTTTGAGTTTCTGTAGTTTAGCTGGCTCCAGTGTGAGGAGTGGATGTGGACTTTGGATGAGGGTGTGTTCTGAGCCATTTTTTTTACTCAAGTGACTGATAACACAACCTTGTTTACAGTACCCCTTTGATCAGGCTGGCTGATCTCATATCCTGTGGCAATCCATGCCCTCCCCCTTCCTCCACACTGCCACTGAAGAGGTTCACTTATTACATCTGAACCTTGACGAATTAAACCAGGCATTCAAAATGACAGTAGAGTAGACCAGCTGTCTCGTAGCTTTTGTTGATTTATGTTGATTATCTGCAGAAAGAATAGTGTGAATGGTATTATTACTATAGCAATATTTAAATTCTACCTGATACCTATAAGCTGGAAAAAAATATTTATTGGGAGATTAACAGTGCTTTATATATATATATATATAATGTACAGTATGAAAAATGATATTCATTGTGAGATTAAGTGTTATATATATGTATATATATATATGTGTGTGTGTGTGTGTGTGTGTGTGTGTGTGTATTTTAGGGATGCAAAAATACAGTTAGCCCACGGTTCATTACATACCTCAGTTTATTAACCACGGTTTTCAGTTCGGTTCGGTTCTGATGGCTTTGCACATCAGAGTTTTAAAATGTGATTTTTAAAGCAAATTATCAACAAAAATAATAATGTGATTTTTGTGATTTTTAAAGCAAATTATCAACAAAAATAATAATAATAATAATAATATATAATAATAATAATAATAATAATAATAATAATAATAATAAAGTTAATTAAATAATGAAGTGAATTAAAATAATATTTAAACTGTTATTTAAAATTATTTTAAATAATGTTTTAAAAAATAATTCTAATACAATTTTAATTATCAGCGTCATATAGTTATTGGCTAAGTATTTAATTTTTTAAAAATATTTTAATTAATGTATTTTAAATATATAAAAATAATATTTAAAATATATTTAGTTTTTCTTTAAATAATTGGATGATAACTGATATAACACTTGATATATTGTGTATCCCTAGTGAATATAGAGTGACAAAGCAATGCAACAGTATTGTTGTGATCTCAGAGGGTAAACTGGAGTCAAAGTGAGAAAAAGTTAAGTGGCCAGTGATGAATTTGCTGGGAAGTGGATTGTGTTTTCCATTCGCCCATTTTCATTATGCCTGGCCAGACATTCTCAGAGTCTGACTTTGGGGCAGTTTTGTGCGTTTGAAGCCAAGAATGGGATTGGTGAGCAGAAAGTCTCTCCAGCAGTGAGCGAATGCTTCATAGAGTCAGAAAATTAGCCCCTCGCCTCAGTCCCAACGGTACCGTCTCTGGCTCGTCCGGCCATCCCAGCCCTCTCTCTCTCTGATAATGTGACAGCCCATTTTGCTCAGTCGCAGTTTCCTAATGTTCCTTTTCCTCTGTTTCTCTCTTGAAGGTTTAGATGCCCCAGACGCAGTTGGAGTGAGAAGAACCATCCTCCATCACGCAGTCACGTAGTCCTCTGCCACTCTGTCCGTCATCTGGAGAAAAAAACCCCCAGAAGCGTGCAGGACCAAAAAAGGGAACTCTGTTTTTGCCTAACAGTGCCTCTCATTTTGTGAAAGCAGCAGATTACCTTAGCAGTGTTCCTGCCTCAGAGTGCTTCCTGTGCCGAGGGGTGTGGTGTGGAGTGAAGCGGTCCGGGGAGTGCGTGGAGGGGTAGGAACCCTCTGCCTGTCAGCCTGTGTCCTACCCTTTCCCTCCCTACAACACCATGACCACTGCGGTCCAGTCCAGCGAGCTTGTCTTTGAGTTCGCCAGTAATGGGATGGATGAAATCAATCAGGTACATCACAGTCACGTTTGTTGTTTTCTGTGTTATCAGACTATGAACCGCCCTTCATCGTTGACCTGAAAACCATAAAAACATTTTGGTGCCAGAAATCTTTGTTATTAGGCACGTAAACTTGTGGTTTCTTTATGTTTAGGTACTGTCTTTGTCCATCCAGCTTCACAGGCCAGGTCTCAAGGAGGGGATATGGGTTTTATATGGGTCTGTGTCTTAGATGCCGGGAAGGGAGGGAGGAAGGTGGAAAATTAAGAGTGCAAGGAGAGGGTTGAGAGATGACTGTGTGTGTTGCTGGCAGGGCGCAGATGGAAAGACTGAGGTGTAGGAATAGCCAGTCAGTATGAACTCAGTGTGTTTGTATTCTTTTACGAAAACCTGGTTGGGAATAAAGGTAGCATTTGAGCCTCAGGACGCCTAATTATGTTACATACAGTGGCCCCAAAAAGTATCTGCAAACAAATGCTGCTGGAGCTATTTGAGAACTTCACTTTTCTGAGCCATTTTTTAAACTCTTTTTTTTTACCAACTGGTCCAGAGGTTACTGTTTCAAGTCAAGCTGTGTTTTAAGTCATGTCAGTTCTCTTCAAGTTCGCACAGTAAACATGTTCAGCAAAGCTTGACCAGAAAACAGCCAATGTTTTTGAACAATATACACTACAATTCAAAAGTTTGGAGTTGGTAAGATTTTTTGTTTTTGAAAGAAGTCTCTTATACTCACCGAGGTTGCATTTATTCAATCAAAACAAGTATGTTTATGAAATGATTTTACAATTTTTCATTTTTGAATTTATTTTAAAATGTAATTTATTCCTGTGATGCAAAGCTGAATTTTTTGCACTCCAGCCTTCAGTGTCACTTGATCCTTCAGAAGTCATTCTAATTTGCTGATTTGGTGTCAAGATGCATTTTTTATTGTTAACATTGCTGAAAGCATTTGTGGTGCTTTTTATGGAAACTGATACTTTTTTCTTCTTCATTTTTTCCTTTGATAAATAGAAAGTTCAAAAGAACGTTTATTTGAAATATAAATATTTTGTAACATTAAACATGATTGATTTGTGACCTTGCTGATTAAAAGTATTAATTTCTTTAAAAACAATTTTTACTGACCCCAAGCTTTTGAACGGTAATGTATTTATCATTTCATATTTTGAAAGTTTTTTGTGACCGAGACATGTGCTTGTGCTACATTTATTTAATTTTCATTTCATATTTTTGTTAGGTCATGCACATACATTCATACATTTTTAATTGTGGCAAAAGTATCCAAATACATTTTAGGCCACTCTACAGTATGTGCGGATGCAAGCATGCTGTCATGCTTGTGTGTTTTGGTTTGTTCGGTGTATATTCTGTCTGAGTTCAGATGACTCCAGAATTCTGATCTTCAGCTTAAGTGTGTTTGTACAGTCATGTGAATGGCTCAGGTGTGACAGGTCTTCTATCGAATCCCATGCCTCTTCTCTTACAGACTGAAAGAGAACTGAATGCTAGATTCAGGCCTAACCTGCTCAACTTGTTGCAGCGTAGGAGACCAGTCCTGATCCACCCAGAAATCTACTATTGTTTTGAAACGACACTGGCTTCTAAGTCACTCCCTAAATCCCCCCACCGTGTTACCACACCGTCATAAATAAGCTCTACCAGTCGCCCGACAGTCTCAGATATCTTTCGACTCCCACTAATAACAATAGAGCTGCTTTTTCGGAGACTGTGCAAAACAAACCTTGACGCTTCTCACTGCTTGTGCAGGGTTTTCCACACACGAGTGCTGTGAAATGTGTCCAGCTGCTTGTGTGGACTGTAATGATTAGCTGTGCTGAACCTAGAGTCAATAATTACTCCCATAATTCAAGTCGTCTTGTAATGTGAGTGAAATGATATTAAGCCACCGTGTCAGAGTTCAGCTACCGCACACAATAGCAGTTGTGTACTAGATCCAGATTTCCACTGAGAGTCACTGAGTGCACAATCTTACACTGATTATCTTATTAACCTAATATAGCATAATGTCTTACAAACGTCTGCTAAAGATTGCAAACTTTTTAAGCAAAAAAGAAAAAAAAGAAAAAACAACTGGCACAACTAGAACACTCGGTATGTAAACACCTTTACCTACATTCTAGTGACTTATTCAGTATGCGCATGTCTCATGTGAATGACTGTTGATGTCAAAACAAAATAATTTCTGTGTGAACAAGGTTTTCTTGCATCATCAGGTTTTCAGAATGGGCTGATTTTTGATCTGCAAATTATTGTGCATGTAAGTTTAATTATTTGTAGGGTTGTATAAAATAGGGATGCACGGGTAATTTTTTAGAGACCGAGTGCAAATATTGACACTTGGTTTTGGTTCTCACTGATACCGATACTTGTATTTTTAGTAATGCTCTAATTTAGTAATGCTCTAATTTTTCAATGAGACTATAATTTGAGGGTGGTATTTAATAAACCTTTAATTCCACTAGTGATTGTATCAAATACAGGATGCTACTGACCACCATAGTATTTTAAAATTAGAATACTTGATTACCACTTTCTTCAATTATTTTAAAGCATAAAAATATATTGGGTGAGAGATACCAAACATAGGAATCATATCAGTTGGCATAATTAGTTTAGTAAACACCGACAACTCCTAGTTAAGTCATTTTGTGTACAACAATGTAGAGCTTTTGTTAACTGTAATCAAACATCTCACCGCTACTGTATAAACGAACACAACCTTTATTCAGCGAGGACTCCTTCAATTGATCAAAATAGACTGTAAATACATTTATAATATTACAAAAGATTTCTATTTCAAATGAATAGTGTTCTTTTGCACTTTCTTTTCATAAATGAACCTGGAAAAAAAAGAATCATGGTTTCCACAAAAATTAAAGCAACACAACTGTTTTCAACATTGATAATAATATGAAAAGTTTCTTAACCACCAAATCAGCATATTAGAATCATTTCTGAAAGATTCACAGTATTACAGTTGTTACTGTATTTTTGTCAAATACTGTAATTGCAGCCTTGGTGAGCATAAGAGACTTCTAAAAAACTTACTGACCTCAAACTTTTGAACGGCAGTGTATTTTCTAAATTTCTTCAGTCCACTTAGATGTAGTTTGGCTGCCAGTGTTTCTTTGTGTGGCGAACTTTATGCAACAATTGCTTTTTTTGTATCAAAGCATTTTTACTTGCATGATATCATGGAATCAACTGTATTGGTGCATCCACACAGTATATTAAATCACCTTTTCTATATTTTCTATAGTGGTCAATTTATTTATTGCTAAAAACCTGTCTCGTGACACCTGCTTAGTACACAGTGTTTGGAAATCATCCAAGAACTTGTCTCCGACATTGCAAGTGAGGGTCTTAGATTGCATCAGTGGGTTAGTATCACAACTGGCGTCAGGTAAAGCAGAAGAGAGTGTAACTGTGAAACACGCCGCATGCTATCGGGTTTATGCATACAGTAGGAACACGGAACACGGAACTCAACTATGCAAATGACTGATCTTTATCTGATGTTTCCCTGTTAGAAATGTGGTTGATTATTGTGGAAAAAAAGGATGTTACAGGTTTATGGCAGTCTCTGTTTTTTAAAAAACAGAAGCTTTACTCTTTTTACTAATGTGTAAGATTGAGATATTGGCATATGAAGAGCTGTATTAGTATTAGAATCTTACATGTATTAGGGCAGAGCTATTCAGCTGATTTTTATGCCATGTTGATTACATCATAAATTGGTTTGATGACAAATAGCATGGATTTTATGCAAGACTTTGAATTTTAACTTTGTATAGACTATACAGATATGTTCTGCTATTTTGCATTTACTTGTCAGGCAGTATGAGAGAGAATATGTAAACCGATCACCAAAGTTTTTTGCATAATCCTGATATCTGATGTCTGTAGTTCCCCAGTATGGCAGGGCGGGAGGGAGGACATGGACAAATGCACAGAGCAAGACTACGTTTCCTGCTTACTAAGCAGTCAGGGCTTGTGGGATTCACAGAGTGTCTGTCTAGCCTAGTTAAAACTCTTCTCTTAGTACACAGATGAACAAATGATTTGAACTTCCTATTTATCGAAGACTCCTGAAAATATTTTCCACAAAAATGTTAAGCAGCACAACTGTCATCAACATTGATCATATTAAATGTTTTGTGAGCAGCAAATCAGCATATTAGAATAATTTCTGAATTATCATGTGACACTGAAGACCGGAGTAATGGCTGCTGAAAATTCAACTTTGCCATCACAGGAATAAATTACATTTTACTATCATGCACTCTGTGTAGGGTCTTGGGCTAGATGGCCAGTAAACAAAAAACAGTTGTTTTAAATTGCAACATTATTTTACAATATTGCTGTTTTTTTTGTGTTTTTTTTACTGTATTTAATCAAGTAAATGCAGCATTGGTAAACATAAGAGACACCTTTCAAAAACATTTTTAAAAAAATCTTACAGACCCAAACTTTTGAATGGTAGTGTATATCCAAATTAAACAGTAGCTAATTTCAAGTGTCGCTATTGAATCCGTTTCTAGTAGTTTAGAGCTTGTGTTAAACTGTACTGAATGAATTATTCTGGCCTTGAACTGAGATTTGAAAAGCCAAACCCATCGAGTCTCTGGGGAAAATGCCATAACAACAGCAAATAGTCCAAGGATGATGGAACAAAAACAGAAAATCCTGCCAAAGGAAGAGATGGCTTATGTGTTTCACAATCTTGTTTGCAAAGAGACAATATTTCAAGCATCCCTGAAGTACTGTAGTACACTGATCAGTTATTGTTAAATATTATTTATTTTTGTGCGTGTGTGTGATTATTGTCTTTGGCCAGGAATGGTCTTTGCATTTTGTTCTTGTTTTGCTCATCTTCACACAGTTGCACAACTGGAAAGGTGATAAACTGCGTTCTGCTGCCATCTAATGGTTATACAACACAACAGACACATGCGTGCATGTGATCTCAGTAATTTAAAAAAATTGCAGAATAAATCATGAAATGTAAGTCCTTAAGGAAGGCAGTCACTTGTCAAGCTTACAATGAACAGTTGCAAAATTTAAGCGGTCCTCTAACAAGTGTCAGAATAAAGGTCACTAGACTTTGATCAGACTGCAGTTTCTCTTGAATTATTCCCGCTCTGTCAATGTTCACTCATATCTGACACGTTTTGCCTTGTTTGCACTTATCGTCTGCCAGAAGCCTAATGAGAGCTGCTATCCGGCTAATGAGATTCGGTTGGTCTCTCTCTCTCTCTCTCTCTCTCTCTCACACACACACACACACACAGTGTCTCTTACTCAGTGATGCTGTCTTCAACACCAGTTTTTCCTGGAAATGGAGTTGTTTTGTTTAGGAAAGCCCTTCAAATTGCTAATCTAGACCACCTTTAAGAGTAGGAAAACATAAAGGGCAGAAGAAAGACATCGTTTATTAAGTATGATAGTATATTTTGGCTGTGTTGACTGTGGTGGGGGATGAGGAACAGTCTCTTGTGGCTTTAGAGTCCAGCACCAACTATTTCCTCTTTCCCCCCGTGTGATCTCCACCCTCGCTTAGGAATGCTGGTGGAAATGAGAAAGCCTGAAATGGTGCTTTTGGCATGAGGCTCATGACCCTGGAAGCAAACAGGGTCATGTGTATAAGAACCTTACTGGAACTGTGGTACATTTGCGTTTACGTCATTAATACCACACAGGCTCGTCTCAGGCCTCATTGTTATGCTGTCACGTATTGAGAGTCCAACCAAGTGACTGAACCAGCTCAGGTTAAAGCCATTATGAATGGGCCATTAGTTGCAGCCTCTGTGAATATAAGTAACCTGGACGATTGTGGATTAGAAGCTTTCATCTGCAGGGAAGGGGCAAATTTATGTGTTTTAAAGCAATTATGGTGCTCTTTACTGCCTTTCGGCTGAAAGCATCGCACAACGGTTGATTTTAGATCAATGGCACATTTATCTCTCTGTTTGTTCTCCCACAGCTGGACGACCCTTCAGTGTTCCCAGCGGTGATCGTGGAGCAGGTGCCCGCTGCCGACCTCATGCAGGTGTACTCTGGACTGGAGGCAGATGAGGTGACTAATGGCATCATGGTGGATGCCATTCAGGATGTGGTGGAAGAGAGCATGATGGGAGATGTGGGGCTCTCTGGTGAGTCCAATAAGTGATCACAATTATAGGTGGCATGATGTTTTTTTTTTCTCATGAAAATGTGCATTGCACCTGAAACAATCCACAACACTGTTTATACAGTATATATGCAGTACTGTTAAAAAGTTTGAGGTGTTTTTGAAAGAAGTCTCTTCTGCTCATCAAGGTTACATTTATTTAATCAAAATACCATAATAACAGTAATATTGACAAATATTCAAAATGTAGTACAATTTAAAATAATGGTTTTCTGTTTGAATATATTCATTATAAGATGTAATTTTTCCATGCAATGGTAAAGCTGAATTTTTCAGCAAGCTGTGGGGCAAGCACAAAAACAAGCCTGATATGAACTACGAAACCATGGGCAGAGCACTCAGGTGAGCCAATGGTTACAAACACTTTACCCAGAGGGACCAATCATGCCAGAGGAATTGCTTTTCTTGACCTCCTACTTTCTCTCGCTCTCTTTTAGGTACTATTACCAGAGGGGTATACTGGCCAAGGTTGAAGGACAGAGGCTTGTTTACCAGTTTAAGGAGATGCCCTCAGATCTGGTCATTATTGATGAGGATGATAGCCAAGGGGACGACGCCAGTTCTGGCTACGGAGGGCAACGGTCCACTCCTCACGGACGGGCAGTGGGCCGCGGTTCATCACGTGCGCAGGGGAAGAGCACACAGGTGAAGTCAGTGAAGAGAGAGATGAGTCCCGGGCTGAACGGCAATGGAATACAAGCAGAACAGCTGGTGCAGAC